GAATTGTCCCTAGGAAGTGAGAGGGAGGCATCTCCACCCCACACAGCTAGTTCTTCAAGGTCAAAGTGGAAGAGAGCTGAATTGAGACATGGACTTAAAGGAATCCTATAAATATAATAGGGTCTTCAGTGAGAGGAAAGGCCACCTGGGAAAGGAGTCCATTCCTGGGAGAACATAGAGAGCTAGACTTAGAGATGAAAAGGATTTAGAAAACAGAGAAGAATTAAGTGCTGAGATGACACAAGGGAAGGGGAGCAGTGTCGGTGAGGTACACAACTGGTGTTAATCATTGTAATGATGAAGCTAGTACTTGGCCTACGTAGCATTCTTCAGGGTTTATTATGTGGTGGTACGTACCTTCCAGGAGCTCTCCCTTCTGCAGTATGCTGAGCATATTTCTGAGTTACAACTCTAGCATCCCTGTCCTTTTGTGTTGTTAATTTTTTGTTAGATTTATTCATTTTATTTCATGTGTTTTGCCTGCATATATGTATGTGGATCACATGCATGCTTGATGCCTTCAGGTCAGAATAGGGCATCAGATTCCCTGGAAATGAAGTTACAGGTGTTTGTGGACTACTTGGGTCTTCTGTAAAAAAAATAATAATAATAATAATAATAATAATAATAATAATAATAAGTGTTCTTAACTGCTTAGCCATCTCTACACCATCACCCCCTATTTTTTTTTAAAGACAAGGGTCTCACTCAATCTTGGTTGGCCTGGAAGTCTATGTAGACCAGGCTAACTCTGAGCTCACGAGGTCTACCTCTAGTGCTAGGATTAAAGGCATGCATCACCACACCAACTTACCCCTGTTTTTAAATAAAAATTAACTTAATCCTTTAGAAAAAAAGAAAGGCTCAGATCCTAAAGATAGCCCTGGATCTAATGTACATTGCCTGGCTTTATGACTTCTGTCTAGTTACTTTTCTATTATGATAAAACCCAAGGCAACATAAAAAGAAAACATTTAATTTGGACCTACAGTTTCCGTGGGTTAAGTCCATGATGGCAGAGCAAAAACAGCTGAGAGCTAGCATCTTCATCTGTAAGAGGAAGGGAGGGAGGGAAAGAGAGAGACTGGGAATGACATGAGTCCTTTTAAAAATCTTAACTCCCACCCCCAGTGACACAACTCCTTCAACAAGGCCACGCCTCCTAGTCCTTCCCCAACAGTTCCACCAACTGAAGACCAAATATTCAAACATAGGACCCTATGGGGCCCATTCTCATCCACACCACCACACCTTGGGCAACTCACTACATTTCTGAGCCTCAGTTTCCTCAACTACAGACTGGAAATACTGATAGGTTATTTAAGAAGTTGTAAAGCTAAGTGCTAGAAAGGAAATCAGGCATGTAGTAGAGTTCTGAGCACACAGGAAAAATTCCTTAATATAAACTTGATAATAAATATAATAAAGTAAATTAATAAATAAGTGGCCAAAGGACAGAAGTAGTGGGACCTGAAGTTCATCCAGGATTGTGTTAAGGTTTTTATTAATAAGGTCTCATATGGCAATTCTGATTTCTCGGGTAGGGGAATAGTAGGTACTTAGAGCATGATAGCCTATGGTCTAGAAGTAAGTGTGTAGCAGGAGATGTAAACTGATGCAAGCTCCCACATTGAGAATGTTATGTTACCTCAAGAAAAAGTCCTACATCACTTTAAGTGTTAGTTTTTAGAATGCCAGACAGGAAGAGAGTAGCTAAATATTCTGCAACATGTTAATGACTAAATGTGGCAAGCACATGGGAATTAGATACGCATATATACATAAAACAATGTTAGTTGAAAAATAGTCAAAAATATTAGTTGATTACAATTTTGTTAATACAGCTGTGTACATTTGCAAAGACAGAAATTTTGAGGGAAAGGATCCTTCTTTCTAACATTGCTTAAGTCTGTTAAATATTTCCATAGTGAATGAAGAACATAATGTCCTGTCAACCCTTCCCAAAGGGTTAGTTGGAACTAGAATCAAGATAGACCCTTACCTAAGGCAGGCACTTGACCGAAACGTACTGGAAGCTTTGCCCATGGAAGGTTCCTGTGCGTCAATGCGGTTTTTTTTTTTTTTTTTTTTTTTTTCCTAAGACCTTGCTGTCTTTGATCACTATCCCCACCTCTCTACCCAAAGACACAGCTATGTCAGTTTTTCATAGGCAGTCTTCCCAAGCTAGAGAACCTTGGTTGATGCCAATGAGGGTCTTCCTGTTCAGTGTGCTCTTTCTGCCCTTCCAGAAACAATTGCCCTTCCTTTCCCTAACACAATGAAGTCCCAGGTTGTGCCATTTCAAACTCTTGTGTAGCTTTTCTGGCCTGCCCCAGTAGGGGTCAGGCTTGTTCCTACAACTCAGAGGAATGAAATGCTGACTTCTCAAGGGCTACGACCTTTAAGAGTGAAATTGTTCTTTTGCCTACTTCAGTATAAAATTACATGTTAAACAAATCACAAAACTTGATCACGGGTCTTGACAAATATCTCTTATATGCAACTTGTTCTTTCAAATGGATATTTAACAAGGATTGGGGGTGCTGGAGATGTGGCTTGCCTAGCAGGTACAAAGTCCTGGGTTTGTCCCCAGCACCTCGTAAGCTAGGGCTGTAATTTCAGCACTGGGGAGGCTGAGGTGGAAGATCAGAGTTCAAGGTCACCACAGCCACAAGTAACTAGTGAATCAAGGCCAGCTATGAGACATTGTCTCAACAAGCCAGAAAGGGGGAGGGATCACTTGTATAGAAAAAATAAAAAATAAATAAATAAAAGCAAGAAAAATCATTGATGTAATGTTTATGCCAGTTTGACAGTATAATATATGGACCAAGAACATGACCACAACTTCCCTATGAAGGTGATTTCAGAATTGCCAGTGTCCCCACCCCCTCCACACTCTTGTACATTAATGACAATTTCGTGTGGTTCATCTCTGCTCACTTCTATTAATTTTTTAGGTCACAGAGTGTAACGGGTAGCATTTTTCATGCATGTATGTAGGTTGTTTGTTTGTTTGTTTATTAGGCAAGATTTCTTTGTGTAGCCCTGTAGAGCAGGCTGGCCTCAAACTCACAGAGATCCGCCTGCTTCTGCCTCCCAAATACTGGGGTCAGAGGTATTGGCCACCACCACTGGCTACATGTGTTTCTTTATAAGTTGTTCCCAAATCATTCCCCTACCTACTACTTCAGGAGTTTTTAGCCATTAATTTAGAAAGATAAGGATTTTTGTTACTCAGTTATCAAAGGCTAATCAAATGATATTTCTGTATACTCCAGTCCCCACCAGCTTTGAACGAGTTAGTGGGTGAATGAAGGGTTAGAGGAAAATATGAAAGAGCTGTGATAGAAATATAAATCTTATTTTAGAGTCAAAATCCTATGGAGTAAGAGAGAGAGAGAGAGAGAGAGAGAGAGAGAGAGAGAGAGAGAGAGAGAGAACCAAGAATCATCTAGGGACCCACTTTATTATAGATGAAGACATGGATGCCAAGAGCCAGCATAGCACCGAAGGCACCTAAACCTACCACAAGGGTATTAGGACCAGGGCATGTTGGCTCCCAGCCCTGCATTCTCTCTAGAGCATCAAAACATATCTCAGTCTTCAAAGCCTTCAGTGATGGCTTCTGGAACAAGGCAGTGAAGGACAATGGCCCCACCAAGTTATTCTATAGAGATAGAGTGTGAATGCTTTCAGATAAAAATACCAGACAATCAGATGATCCTCAAAATGCAGTCCCTAATCCCAAATGGTCAACTTTGAGGGACCCTGAGATGGTAGAGGTGGTAGAGGAACCCCAAACTGCTCTCAAAGAGCACTCTGGCTTTCTTGGGTCTAGTCGGCTCCTACCACAGCAGTCAGAAAGGCTTCACCCAGAAGAAAACCTGAGCTAGGTCTCGGCTGGAGGGAGGGAAAATTGGCCATATTTCCATGCTTTTCACCTTTATTTCCACTGTCAAGGCAGACTAAATTTGTGATCTCCAGTTCTTCCCATCAAGACTTTCATTGTCAATTCATTTATTTCTTTAGTGAGCATCAATCCACTAATTACTTGAAGGCACAGGAGAGCCAGAGGGGTCTTAGATTTCAGGAACGTCTTGTAAGGGTTTGAAGTTTCTTTCCCAGAACTGTATACAAAGCTTTTGGGCATGTGGAAATGTACTTTTCTAAAGTTGGTAACATTAATCAAACCCGTGACTTTAAAAACCATTAACAACCACCGTACGGGTATGTCTCAGAACCTAGCTTCTTGCATCAGTCCTGCTCAGGGTCTGCTTCCTACCTGTTGGTCCGAGAAGATGGAAGCTGACAGGATGTGAACAAGTGAGGTATCTAGATGCCCAGACATCTAGAATTTCCCGTAGAACCACAGGAATCTGTATCTGCCCTCCCAAATCCACTACTTCTGTGGGTTCTGCTTCAGGCAATTACATCCTTCTATATGTTGTGTTCTTGAACTTCTGTGAGCTTAAAAAGGCTACAACTGGGTTGTGTTAGCAGGCTACAGTCTCAGGAAGGGGCCAGTTCTGAGTCAGTCAGTCCTGGCCTTTAAAGGCTCTCAAAGATCTGCACCTCCAACCCTCCCCCCATCACCAACAACTTTCATGTTGCTCCTGTGCTGGAGAATTCATTCTAACAGTCTGTACAGTCCTCCCCCTGGGAGATCTGAGTCCTCCCCCTGGGAGATCTGAGTCCTCCCCCTGGGAGATCCGAGTTGTTGTCTGGGAATCACACTGGCTTTGTGGTTGATCCACCGTGTCAGGTGACACCTGCTACTCCCGTGGAAGTGGTTTTGCAGAAGGATAAGTAAGCTGAGCATGCCATATGACCCAGGAGTCCCGACTGTAGTCATCATTAGTTGGCATTGGAGCCAACAGCAGAACGAACGTGAGAGAGGCTGTGGAGCTGCTGACCCTGCCAGGGTTCACGAGTGTGTGAACATGGGACCCACTGGCCACAGACACACTGCTGAATTCTGTTCTTTTTCCCCCCTGTAGAGAGAAGACACAGTTCAATGTGCAGGCCTTCTCCCTCTCCAGCATCTCCAGCCTCCAATTCCAGGACATCACTAGCACAGGCAAAGACAAAAGCCTGTCTCAGCGGCCATAACGCTGTCAGCAGCACCTCAAAGCCATTTAAAACGCCCAAAGACAATCTACTTACCTCCAGCAGCAAACAGCACACGGTCTTCTCTACAAAGGGGCCAAGGGAAAAACCATGGTGAGTCCGGGTGCTGGGTGCTGAGACGGTCTGCCTCCACACTCTGGCTTTGACCCAGGGTGTCATGTTCACAAAACTGGGGGTCTGAGGAAGGAACCCAGAATGATGGCATGAGGAAGCTAACTACTAAACCCTAGTAACTAGAGGAAGCATGGGACCTTGTGTGCCTGAACAGAAGAATGTTTGTACACTCGAGAACTGAGCTGTGTGGTGTCTAAGGAAAAGGAAACAGGGGAAGATTCCTCGGCTATAGGGCTGCCTCAGTTTTCTGTCCCAGTGAAGAGAAACGCTGGTATAAACAATCGTTGCACAGACTCTGATGGAGGAAGAAGAGGAGGAAGGCAGTGATGGTGCCCCAGCCCAGGAAGCAGCCTCCCTTCCCCAGGGCCTCTGCTCCCAGTCCCCTGAGGACACTGAGTGGAGTAGACCTAACTGAAGGGAGGAGTGGGGGAAAGGAGCAGTAAAAGGAAAGTCACCCTTCTGATGGGGAGTCTTTCCCCAAAACACAAAAGGTTCCCTATGGACTAGACAAACTAGGAACCATCCTGAAAATGTGAAGGGTGGACACCGAGCACTCAGGACTGGCTTGTCACAGCACCTTTTGCTTTATCTTCCAGGCCTCCTGAAGACAGAGAAGGGACAAGTGTGGAGTGTGTCTAATTTAAATATTTAAAGAGAAATGGTGCTCCTTAATTCTAATGGTAGCTGATGGCACTTACCGTCCTACCCAGCAAAGCTGTGGAATACAATTATCCGTCAATGGGGGTGGTTGCTGTGCACTGGAAATTATGATGGCTTGTAAAGAGCTCATTATGCCAGATCAATGAGAGAGCCTCAGGTGATGAGGCAGAGGTTGGAAGAGGGGCGTGGCTGAACTAGCTGTGTTCTCTGAGAGCTTCCTGTGTGAGGGTACAGTTGCTTAGGAGAAACCTGATCTAAGGGTGATGGTGGGTGACCTCTGATCAGTTTGTGACAGTGTCCACCTCTCAGACCCTCTTCTCCATGCCCCCCAGAGAGCAGAGGGCTTGTCTGCTGAGGAATGAATGCCTGGAAACAGGTGTCTTTGCAGACTGACATTGAGCAGCTCTTTGATCTTTCTGTGCCTCGGTTTCCTATACAATGAGTCCAGCCATGGACTAGCTGTGTCCCATGGGGTACTGTGAGGATCCAGTGAGCTTCTTTATACACAGCAACATGCACAGTACCTGGGTCAGAGTACATGCTAAGTACATGCTTTAGGATAATTACCATCAGCATTATCCTACCATGTGTGCCCAAATCTTATTACCTGTGATTAAGATTGAGGAGTTCACCCAGCTGGAAAATCAGAGAAACAGCTCTTCAGAGAGAGGCATGGGGGTACATGCTCAGGATCCCAGCATTTAGTGGGTAGAGAACTATTGGGGATGTTCAAGGGCTATCCTAATTATATGGTGAGATCCTATGTAAAAAATAAAAAGATACAGATTCAGCGGAAACGTGAATATGATAAAATAGTTTATTCAGGCCGAGGGGGTGTTGCTTGGTTGTAAAGCATTTCCTAGCGTGAATAGGGTCCCCAGCACCACAGAAGCAAAGAACGAAGAAAAGGGTCTGAGTCTGGAAATGACCTACAGACCAACGTAAGGAAGGCAAGGATCCCCTGAGTGAGATAGTTGAGCTCACCTTTTGAAGGGGCACTGAGGGGTTGTGTGTCCCCATAGCACTCCACAGCGTTCTCCCACCAGGCCACTGTCAGGGAGACTGCAGAGTTAGATCAGTTTCCCCACTCAGCACAGCCGACCCTCTCAACTCTCTAAGACCTGCCATGGGCAAGGCTCCTTCAGCTAGGGGCAGAAAGTGCTGTGAAGAAATGTGAAGCCACTGGCCAAATGCGTTAGTCAAGGGGGCAGAACTGACAGCAAGAATATGTACCGCGGAGTTATTAGACTGGCTGACGTAGCGTGAGCTGTGTGGTTCAGTAATGGCCATCCTACACACTGCAGATCTATAAGGCAGGAGGCCTAGGCAGTCCCAGTCTTGCACCGGAGGCATGGAGAGGTCATGGAGAGCTGTTGGTCTTCAGTCCACATTGGAAGGCAGAAGACACTGGGTTCCCATGTTGATGGAAGATGACACAATGACAGCAACAAAGTAGGTACACTCGCCAGCAGGGAGCAAAGGTGGGCAGGTGGAAAGCAACAGTTAATGAGTGGCCTTGCCAGGCAGGGTACATCGTGGAAGGAACCCAACACTGGACTACAGGCAAGAAAAGTGAATTCAAAGCTAGGCTCTGCTATGGAGTTTCTGTGTGTCCTGGGGACAGTCACTTAGTATCTCTGTGCTTCATTTTAAGCCTGAATTCTAAATCACAACCCTCTCAAGTTCCCCATTGCCTTCTAGATATGAGTGAGATCAAAGGAGGCAGTTTACTCACCCGAGGCATCTCCCAGCCCCCTAAGTAGATATATTCAGTTTGTGTTGGGACTGGAGAGATGGCTCAGCAGTTAAAAGCACTGGCTGCTTCCCAAAGGACACAGGTTTAATTCCCAGCACCCATGTTTCAGATAGCAACCGTCTGTAACTCCAGTTCCAGCAAATCTGATGCCATCTGCTGGCTTCTGAGGGTGCCAGGCCCACATGTGCTACACAAACATACATGCAGGCAAAACACCGCCCACATAATTTAAAATTTAAAAGCAAATTTAAAAATGCATGCTGGCTTTCAAAACTATCTACTTACATAGCAAACTGAAAAATTGCTTTACTCCATGATGAGAAGAGGAATAGCGGAAGCGTGACCTCACCTGGTAGACCTCTGTTAAGTCCTCAGCCTGTGTTGGCAGCCCTTCTCCTGTGCCCTTATCCTATTCACATTTAATTTTGGATTCCCACAGCTACAGCATACAATTGTACCAGTTATGCACGGCACCAGGATGACTATTGGGTATGTGGACTGCAGGCATTTTTTTTCTAACTACACAAAGCTCTATATGTAGCCTTAGTGGGCCTTGTGCACCCCAGCACTTGTTATAGTGGGCACATAATTATTTTTTAGGTGACAATTAAGTATTTAGTAAAGATAGAGGCATGTTCTAGTACCAGGGGAAGAGAGCAGGGAGAGCCGGTGTAGTAGGTAGTAATGGGTCATCAGATTGAAGTAGGGGATTTGGGGTCAGCTTACAGAGGGTCTTTATGTTGGTGGGGCTCTGTCTTTTTATATATATATATATAGTTCTTTTTTTATTTAATTTATTATTTCACATGTCGATCCCAGTTCCCTCTCCCTCCCTCCCTTTTACCCTTTCTGTCCTCTCACATGCACCCTAACCACCCTTCCCTCCCACCCCCCCACCCTAATTCCATATGTAGGGGAATGCCATCCAGTTGGGGTTATGTAGATCTAACAGGTCATGTGAAGTAGGGACTAGGGCTTCTCTCCTGTCTCTAGGTTAAGGCAGTTATCCCTCCATGGGGGATATGTTTGCAAAGTCCTTTTGTGCACTAGGGATACATCCTGGCTCCACTGTCTGAGGTCCCCTAGACTGCTCAGTCCTTCTGGCTGAGACCCATATTCAGGGGGGCCTGAGTCAGTCCCATGCTGGTTTCCCAGCTATCAGTCTGGGGGCCCGTTAGCTCCTCCTTGTTCAGGTAAGCTGTCTCTATGTGTTTCTGCCGCCTGGTCTTGTCCTCTCCATCTGCATCTGGGTTCTAGTTCAACTCAGTATTTAGGTATGGGTGTTTGCTCCTGTTTCCAACGGGTATTAGATGAGGGCTCCATGGATAAGTTAGTTGTTGATCTCACTATCCGGGAAGGGCATTTATGGTAGCCTTTCCACGGATGCTCAAATTGTTAGTTGGCCGCAGTCTTGTAGTTCTCTAGACCTTTCTTTGTGTTCAATTTTATCTTCAAACCAATATTGGCTCCCTCTTTTATGTTCTCTCTCTCTCTCTCTCTCTCTCTCTCTCTCTTTCTCTTTCTCTCTCTCTCTCTCTTCTGTCTTCTATTCCTAACTGGGCGCAATCTTCCTAGTCGCACATGTTTTCCTTTCTTCCCCCTCACTTTCTCCTACTTCTCTCTCCATTCGCTGCCGCCCCACTTCCCCTGTGCTCTGGGGGACTTGCCCCTTCCCAGTTCTGTGAGGGACTTTATATGAATCTCTTAGAATATACCTCGTATCCTAGTTCCTCTGGTGGTGTGAATTATAGGCTGATTATCCTTTGCTCTAGGTCTAAAATCCATATATGAGTGAGTACATACTATGTTCCTCTTTTTGTGACTGGGTTACCTCATTCAGGATGGTTTCTTCAAGTGCCATCCATTTGCCTGCGAATTTCAAGATACCATTATTTTTTCCTGCAGAGTAGTTTTCCATTGTGTAGATGTGTCACATCTTCATTATTCATTCTTCAATTGAAGGGCATCTAGGTTGCTTCCAGGTTCTTGCTATTACAAATAGTGCTGCTATGAACATAGTTGAACAGATGTCTTTGTTGCATTGATGTGGATCATTTGGGTATATGCCTAAGAGAGGAATTGCCGGGTCCTGTGGTAAACTAATTCCCATTTTCCTGAGGAACCGCCATACTGATCTCCAAAATGGATGTATGAGTTTGCACTTCCACCAGCAGTGGAGGAGTGTTCCCCTTTCTCCACATCCTCTCCAGCATGAGTCATTATTGGTGTTTCTAATTTTAACCATTCTGGCAGGAATAAGATGGTATCTCAAAGTTGTTTTGATTTGCATTTCCCTGATAGCTAAGGATGTTGAGCACTTTCTTAAGTGTCTTTCAGTCTTTTTGATTTCCTCTATTGAGAATTCTTTCTTCAGTTCTGTACCCCATTTATAATAGGGTTATTTGGTGTTTTGTTGACCAGTTTCTTGAGTTCTTTGTATATTTTGGAGATCAGCCCTTTGTCGGATATAGGATTGGTGAAAATCTTTTCCCAGTCTGTGGGCTGCTGTTTGGTCTTGTCCACTGTGTCCTTTGCCTTACAGAAGCTTCTAAGTTTGAAGAGG